TGCTGCGTACCTGACTCCTGACAGCCGTTAGCCTGGGTGCCAGACTGTTTCCAGGGCCTGACTCCTGAGAGCCTTTAGCCTGGGTGCCAGACTGTTTCCAGGGCCTGACTCCTGGCGAGCCGTTAGCCTGGGTGCCAGACTGTTTCCAGGGCCTGACTCCTGAGAGCCTTTAGCCTGGGTGCCAGACTGTTCCCAGGGCCTGACTCCTGAGAGCCTTTAGCCTGGGTGCCAGACTGTTTCCAGGGCCTGACGTCTGAGAGCCTTTAGCCTGGGTGCCAGACTGTTTCCAGGGCCTGACTTCTGAGAGCCTTTAGCCTGGGTGCCAGACTGTTTCCAGGGCCTGACTTCTGAGAGCCTTTAGCCTGGGTGCCAGGCTGTTTCCAGGGCCTGACTCCTGACAGCCTTTAGCCTGGGTGCCAGACTGTTTCCAGGGCCTGACTCCTGGCGAGCCGTTAGCCTGGGTGCCAGACTGTTTCCAGGGCCTACACGGACTAGTTTCTCGGCTCCAGAGCCTACTCTCCAAGCAGATCATTAGTAACAAAAGACAGTATCAAATTGGCCAGGTATGTATCCATCGGACAGATGGACATTGCCAGAGCCAACATGCCCTCAAGGAAATTATACCCCCCCCCACACACACAATTCTGGGCCTAGCGTGCTCTGCTATGGGTCTGGCATCTATAGGCTACACAGCCTACAGCGCGCCTGTTCTACTGATGTAGCCGTAAGTAAGTCTGAGAGCCTTTACCAGCGAGCCAGTTCTACACTTATGCACGGCGAGGCTAGCCTGTGCGCCTATAGCGCGGCCCAGCCTGTTGTACTGGTAGTATTGTACTGCAGTACGGTACCCTGAGACTGAGAGCCTTTACTTGGCGCACCTGTTCTACCCTACAGCCCGGCGCCCAGCTGCGCTACAATCCTGCCATTAATTAGCGAACCCCAAACCTGCCGGAGCCTGGTAGAGCTAGGCTAGTACACTATTATGTGAGTCTGTGCGTCTTTAGCGCGGTCCAGCCTGTTGTACTGGTACGGCCCTACATTACTGTAGAGTAGAGCACAGTTCTACACGGCGCCCAGCTGCGCGGGAATCCCGCCATTAGCGATCCCCGAACTTCCCGGAGCCTCACGAGAGACGCGCCCGCCGGCAGGTCGGATTCCTGCGGCGTTTTCCCGGCTCGGGAGAGAAACTGACAGAACCTGCACGTTACAGCCAACAGCAGTGACAAATAGCTACGGATTCTGGCAGAAAGCCTGTAGTGTGGTTTTTGCTAATGCCTTTGGAAAAACTTTTTAAGCTCCACACATCTGCTCCCATGCCCCCGGCCCCGCTCCACCTGTGTAGCCTCTACTTTTACTTCGGCTTACCGCTGGAAAAATATTAGAAATTGGCACAAATAAAGGGGGGAATAGTATACCAGGGGAGTTATCCGGCCAGAGAGGGTACATTTTGCCGGTATACTATTCCCTTTATTTTGGCCGATTTCTACTGTTTTTCCAACTAGCGATCCGCGGTGCCTGTCGGAGGCTACTACCTCCAAGCAGAGGTTGTGGGGGATGAGCGTTAGCTTTTTATATATGGCCGGGTTTTTTTTGCTACCCCCACCTTGAGTCACTCATGGTCCCTCTCTGGCCAATCGGATACTGTTTTTTTAGACGCTAGGATCTGCTTAGACCACGCTTAGACCGCCTGTCTCCTCTATTTTTGAGACCCTAGGATCTGCTTGGACCACCTGTCTCCTCTATTTTTGAGACCCTAGGATCTGCTTGGACCACCTGTCTCCTCTATTTTTGAGACCCTAGGATCTGCTTGGACCACCTGTCTCCTCTATTTTTGAGACGCCAGGATCTGCTTGGACCACCTGTCTCCTCTATTTTTGAGACCCTAGGATCTGCTTGGACCACCTGTCTCCACCCGGCCACACACACACAACCCTTCCTCCCTCAGCCCCCCCCCCCCGAACTCCAGGCTCTGGCACCTGTCTTCACCCGGCCTGTGATTGCCGGTACGGGCGGCGGGGCGTGTTTGCAGAGGACTTAGTGGCGCGCGCGGAGATACAATTACATGATTAAAGTGCTTTCTGGTGGGCAGTTCTATTAATAATTTCACGGTGCGGAGACCTGATGTAAAACCAGGAAGTCGGCAGTGTTTACAGACCCGCGCGGCAGAGTAAACCGGCGATAATATTGCCCATTGACGTCACGAATCACCCTGCACTTATTGGCACGGACTATGGTGTAACAGTCTGATACCGTCATCATCGTGTGGATAACTGTTCCTCCTGCCTTAGCTAAGCGGACTCTACCCTGTCTGCACAGCTAGTCTGCGCTCCCATTACTGAGAGCCATCAGCGTGCAGAAAGGTTCGTCGCTAAAGACAGGTAAAATTTGCCCCGATATGAAGCGGCCCGTCCAGCGCGCCATTCCCGGCCGCCCCTAAGTAACGTTTCCGGGCCTGATGATGTTTGCTCCGTAAAACGTCTATTTGCGCAATTTGCTGTGAGGCGACCTGAGGATGGACTGTCCCATCGACCCGCGGGGTCGTTAATGTGAGATTTAACCGCACCGGGCCAGCCGTACAGCCTAGCAGGGCCGTATAGCATAGCAGGGCCGTATAGCCTAGCAAAGCCGTGTAGCCTAGCAGAGCCGTGTAGCCTAGCAGAGCCGTACAGCCTAGCAGGGCCGTGTAGCCTAGCAGGGCCGTGTAGCCTAGCAGGGCCGTATAGCCTAGCAGAGCCGTGTAGCCTAGCAGAGCCGTGTAGCCTAGCAGAGCCGTGTAGCCTAGCAGGGCCGTGTAGCCTAGCAGAGCCGTGTAGCCTAGCAGAGCCGTGTAGCCTAGCGGGATCGTTAATGTGAGATTAAACCGCACCGGGTACAACCGTATAGCCTAGCAGGGCAGCTCTGTACCGGGTACAACGTCTGGAAGCGGCTGGAAAGAGTTGGGAAATAGACATGATATGCCAGGGCGGTTGGTCCTCGCTTAGAGAACAGTTTGCCGCTGCCGAAGCCTGGTAGAGGCCACGTACCGAAGCCTGGTAGAGGCCCCTTACCGAAGCCTGGTAGAGGCTACGTACCGAAGCCTGGTAGAGGCTAGGTACCGAAGCCTGGTAGAGGCCCCTTACAGAAGCCTGGTAGAGACTACATACCGGGTACAGCCATGCCCCTACCCGCACCGTGCGGACGCGGTGGCCCGTCACAACAAGCCGGCGGCCGTGAGTTGGTTTATTGTAAGTAATTAAATCATCTCGGACGGAACGACTCGGTTCCCGGGGGAGCGGCTGGGTTAGAGCCGCGGCCGCTCGGCGAGCTGGGACCGCTCAATTCATTACCGACTCCGCGGGAGCCGGCCTGATTTACTGGTATAGTCTCCGCAAGACTAACACTGGTTAAAAAAACTGACTTTCCAGGACAACTATTTCCCTTTTTCCGGAATTCTAGGATGCATATACACCGTAGGAAGGCCTGGTGGAGGATTCAAAGGGGGAAATTAACCCTCTCGCGGACTGACACTCTTGACCCCTTTATTTTTCTGGGATCCGTACCCCCGTAGGAAGCTGGGACCGACTCAGCTGGAGGCCGCCTGATTTACTGCGCCAATACGTCAGCGTGGGGACAACAAACACCGTTCAGGAGGAGGCAATAAAACCATTATAACATGTTGCCATCCGCAAATAAAGCCATTATGCCATGTCTCTATCCGATAGCAGAGGGAAGGCATTAAAGCCTTTATAACATGTTGCCATGGGTTAGCAGAAGGAAGAGAATAAAACCATTGTGCCATGTTGCCAGGAAGGCATTAGGCCATATTCTGCATTGTGACATGTTGCAATGCGCATGCTCTAGGTAAACCGAAAGCCGCCCTTTCCGAGAACATCTCCCGGCCGCCTGGCCAGGTCTGTTGCCATGGTGATGTGCGTCACATCACCGCCAGCTGACGTCACGAACCGCAGTGTCCCTGTTGTTGTACATGTAGCGTGTTGCGGCAGGTGGTTGTATGTATGTGCCGTAAGAGGTGACTGCTATGGCGTCTGCATGTGTGTGTGTGTGTGTGTCGTGTGTGTGTGTGTGTGTGTGTGTGTGTGTGTGTGTGTGTGTGTTTGTGTGTGTGTGTGTGTGTGTGTGTGTGTGTGTGTGTGTGTGTGTGTGTGTGTGTGTGTGTGTGTGTGTGTGTGTGTGTGTGTGTGTGTGTGTGTGTGTGTGTGTGTGTGTGTGTGTGTGTGTGTGTGTGTGTGTGTGTGTGTGTGTGTGTGTGTGTGTGTGTGTGTGTGTGCGTGTGTGTGTGTACGTGTGTGTGTGTGTGTGTGTGTGTGTGTGTGTGTGTGTGTGTGTGTGTGTGTGTGTATGTCTAGATCTGTATGTATGTGTGCGTGAGTGTGTGTGTGTGTGTAGTGTGTGTAGTGTGTGTGTGTTTGTGTGTGTGTGTGTGTGCGTGTTTATGTGTGTGTGTGTGTGTGTGTGTGTGTGTGTGTGTGTGTGTGTGTGTGTCTAGATCTGTATGTATGTGTGCGTGAGTGTGTGTGTGTGTGTGTGTCTGTACGTGCCGTTAACTATTGTTGTTGTTTCCTGCAGCTTTGGGAGACTGACGCCCCTGCCCTAACTAGGAGAGAAGGACATGGACGGTGTGTCTGTGTGTCTGTCTGTCTGTGTGTGTGTGTGTGTGTGTGTGCGTGTCTGTACGTGTCGTTAACTGTTGTTGTTGTTCCCCTGCAGCTTTGGGAAACTGACGCCCCTGCCCTGACTAGGACCATGCCAGGCGTGGCGGCAGAGAAGGACATGGACGTTGTGTCTGTCTGTCTGTGTGTCTGTATGTGCCGTTGTTTTGGCTAACTCTGTTGTTGTTGTTTCCTGCAGCTCTGGGAGACAGACGCCCCTGCCCTGACACGAACCATGCCAGGCGTGGCAGCAGAGAAGGACATGGACGGTGTGTCTGTCTGTCTGTCTGTCTGTCTGTATGTGTGTGTGTGTCTGTACGTGACGTTAACTGTTGTTGTTGTTGCCTGCAGCTTTGGGAGACAGACGCCCCTGCCCTGACACGAACCATGCCCGGCGTGGCGGCAGAGAAGGACTTGGATGGCGACGAGCCGATTGACGACTGCGACTTCTCGGAGGACGGCGAGGACAGCCCGGAGGGGGAAGAGGAGGACGATTCGGAGGCGGCAGACGGGGAGGAGGGGGGCGAGGGCGGGAAGAAGCCGGGCTACACGCTGCGCGTCCGGAAGGGCTCCAAGAAGACGGATTCCGAGGAGGAGGCGGCACCGAACGCGCCCAAGAAGCGCGGCCCGAAGAAGAAGCGCATGACGAAGGCGCGAGTGATCAAGTTCAAGATGCGTCGGTCCAAGGCGAACGCGCGCGAGCGGAACCGCATGCACGGTCTGAACCGCGCGCTGGACAGGCTGCGCGAGGTGCTGCCCTGCTACTCCAAGAACCAGAAACTCTCCAAGATCGAGACTCTGAGGCTGGCGCGGAACTACCTGTTCGCGCTGACGGACATCCTGCGCACCGGCAGCGTGCCGGATAACGTCACGTTCGCGCAGACGCTCACCAAGGGACTGTCCCAGACCACCACTAACCTGGTGGCGGGCTGCCTGCAGCTGAACCCGCGCACGCTGCTGCCGGAGAAGGACATCGACCCGCTGGCGTACATGTACCACAGCCGCCCGGCGCCGCTAGACCCGGGCTTCGGCAGCGGGGACTGCCAGTTCACGGCGCCGGCCTACGGGCTGCCGCTGCCCGAGAGGGACATGTACCCCGCCCAGGTCTACAACGGCGCCGCCGACGTGCCGCAGACATACCCCACCCCGCCCTCCAGTGTTGACGAGCCCTACCGAGCTTCCAGCGAGGACCCGGCGGGGCTGCGTGGCGCTCCGTCCCGCCTGGAGCCGCACGGCGCCCCGGTGCCGTTCCCGACGCCGTCCCAGTCCCTGGCGGCGCTGGAGGAGACCATGAAGGCCATGGTGGGGCCCGCCAACTCCAGCAACTTCCACGTGCCAAGACACTGCGGGGCTCCAAGTCTCGCCGAACCACATCTCGCCATGGCCGAGAATAATCCTGACTGTGACCTGACCTTGGATGACCTTGTGACGTACGACGCGCCGAACTCGCTCATGGAGCAGAACTTGCACCTGCTGGACACGTCTTCTCGCGAGATCTTCACCGAGTAGCGAGAGTGCTTCCACTCAGACAGATCTTCACGTGTCTTCTCGCGTGATTTCCACTGTCTTCTCGCGTCTTCTCGCGTGATCTCTACGTTCCTTCTCGCGAGATCTCGAGATTAAAAGTGGCCACTTCCAAGAGTAATAATCAACAGGCAACTCAGCCTTTTCATTTGTAGAACGTTGAACAAACTCGACATGTGCATTAGAAGGGACCGAAGTGACGTAGGTTGGCCAGTCACTGTTGCTCGGTTATTTCCGTTGTTTATGAAAACTGGTCTACAAAACGGCGGTTTTTCTCGTCCACCTTAGATTGGAAACAAGTAGTGACCTGATCATCAGTACAAACACTCTGGATGCTCCAGCAACTTTAACCCCGTCGCCATGGCGACGTAAAACCAGTCTTATCCAGTCGCCAGTTGGTAGTTTATAGTGCCTGATGTAACAGCTGGGGATGTGTAGGTGCAAGCCGATAGTGATAGGAACATTTTCTATGGCGTTCACCCTCTGACTTGAAGTTAGAAAAAGGTTTAAAAACACAAAGCATTTAGATGTAGAGGCGAACAAGTTTTCTTTTAACTTTTAACTATCAACCAGGAACTTCCCTTGTACCCCCTGACCCACCCCCTGCGTTGGTGCACCTCCGCACCCTTCGGCTGAAGGGTGCCCCCCACCCCCATGCACACCCTCCGCCCGACCCCAGCCCTACCCCTGTACCCCCCATCCCCATGCACACCCCCTGTGCCCCGCCATTGGAGGTATATCGGAGGAAGATGGCGAGCAATCAAATATAGTGCATCCGACTGGATTAGGACAATGGCTGCTATAAAACACGTGTATTGATTTCCCCATCAGCACGGGCGACTGGCTCCCATCAGCGCGGCTTCAGCGGGCAAATTTCACGCTGCGCGATAACAAATCTACTACGGGACCAGCCCAGCAGTTCGATTCTATTTAGTCCCCAGCAATCACCGGAGTTTATCATGGGGGAGGGGGGCGGGCAGCATCAGTGGCGAGGCAGCGGGAATGGCTCCACACAAGCTAGCGTACACAACACAAACTTGCTGCATCCAGCCTAACACAAACTACCTACTCCTAACATTCACTAGCTACACACAACACAAACTTGCTGCACCCAGCCTAACACAATCATGGGGGAGGGGGGCGGCCGGCAGTAATGGTGGGGCAGCGGGGATGGCTCCATGTAAACTACCTACTGCTAACATACACCCAGCCTAACACAAACTAGCTACACCTAGCAAAAACTAGCTACACCTAGCACAAATTAGCTACACTCAACCTAACACAAACTTGCTACACCCAACCTAACACAAACTAGCTACACCCAACCTAACACAAACTTGCTACATACAGCCTAGCACAGACGCATACAAAATATCAGGTTACGTGTAACTGTACGACTGGTTTGTAAAAGATGGGAGCCGAGTTTCCGAACCTTATAAACAGGACTCAGTAACTCACCCTTATAATAATTATATACACACAAGTTATAAATAGGAAACGTCAGTAAAGGTCAAGTTGAAGTTGTAGTTTTGATGAAGCGGACTCATGGAGTATTTTGAAGATTGTTACTCTTTAACTTATTATAAATCTTTAACTTATTCTATCAACAAAGTTCCTGTTTGATGTTCTAGACTTAATTTATTGATTTCTATGTGCAACTGTCTACGTTCATATTGTTGTCGTTGTTGTGTTTTATATTTGTGAACAATGTTTGTATTTTTGTAAGACTGTTGAGGACAAAGTCCCTTCCGGATGGCAATATGATTGCGCTGATTCCTTGTGAAAGTTAAGATGAAACGTTTAGATTTTGTACACGTGGAGACTGATTATGTATGATGAAGAGAGTGACTTTGTTACCACACGAGTTCATAAGCTGACCATCATCTCAAGAAATAAACGATTTGTCCGGATCCGAGGTGAAAACTAACATTGTTCTGTAACCTTCCTATTCTGTCTGAAACAACAGTCTGCTTTTGTTGCCATGAAAACCATCAGACCACTCTATCCCTCTCGTTGCCATGGAAACCACCTGGTCACTCTATCCCTCTCGTTGCCATGGAAACCATCAGACCACTCTATCCATCTCGTTGCCATGGAAACCACCTGGTCACTCTATCCCTCTCGTTGCCATGGAAACCATCAGACCACACTAACCCTCTCGTTGCCATGGAAACCACCTAGACCCTCCCCATAGCCATGACGCTGTTCTGTTGACGCTGTTCTGTTGTTTGTTAATTAGAAAAGCTGATGATAACGAACAAAATCCCGACATTCCATTCTGTAGCGGCTCTGCTGCTTCACGTAGCGGCTTTCTAAGCACTTTTGTTTATTCGAGCCGGAAGTAAAAATGTGACTTAGGTACTGTCCATTGCGTGTTAGACTGTGTTCATTGTTATCTAGTTTAGTAAGACATGAGAAGATGTCTTCCCGACGGGAGCGATGCGAGGTCTGACAGATTCCGACACGTTTCCGATGATGAGAAGTTCCCATCGATTATCAACGATGTCGGGAATACCGACACGTTTCCGATGATGAGAAGTTCCCATCGATTCTCCGCGATGTCAGAAGTACGGACTGCCTCTGCGTAACGGCACCTCTGAACCGGCGCATTATTTAATTATAGGGCCCGAATTTATACACCAATTCAATTGACGACTTGGGTCGATAATTTCATAGCAATAATTCCTGGCAGAGCAATATGACATGAGTCCAGGCCGGACTATTGCCGGCTGTTTATCACTAAGTACCGGTGATTCAGTCCTTCCCTGCTGTACAATAAACTTTGCCGCGAGTTTCCCTCGTTATCTGTGGACTTTTGTGTCTTGTGTTTATCTGTTAGATTTGCACGGATCAATGTGAAAACAGAGGGGGAGGCGAGGGGGGGTGCCCTGAACAGAGATGGGGGGTGGCAACCGGCATTTAGATCATTACTGCGCAGGTAAGGGAAGGGAGACAAACAAGAGAGTTGCCTAGCCTAAACTTGGGGATAGATCGCCTGTATCATTGGCGCCCCCTGTCGGCGTGTCTCCAAACTCCAGGCTGTCCAGGACGACATCCCAGCCAGCGTCGCGACCAGCGGCCGGAGTGATATCATGCGGACATACTGCGGGCCAACGGACAATGCGCACGGTTTGGTTTGGTTGAGCCACGTGAACAGTCATTGGCGCTAACGGACGTTTTCTGCCATTGTTCAAATCTCGAGAATAACGAAGGCTGACATGTGACTATGAAGATACTTGTGTTAAAATTCTCTCCCGGTATTAAACTAAAGCAGGGTAGCCTGTATCACGTACGCCGCCTAGCGGTGTGTCTGCAAAGCGCAGATCGGTTACAGTCAGGGTGCAGCAGCGTGGTGCAGATGCCGACATAACGGGGCATGTTTCTTATCAGCATCACTGCAGATCTACGTCCTCCCTAAAATAGCCGCCCATACAACATACAACATACAACATACAACATACAACATACAACATACAACATACAACATACAACATACAACATACAACATACGACATACAACATACAACACAAACTGTTGATGCTATGGCTACACTTTTCTGCAAGATAACGTTTAACGTATCCAATCCTCGTACCACAACCGTTTTAAGATTTTTAACAAAAGGGATCAATTGCTTGTCGGTGTACGTTGGGTCTAGTGCATAGTGGTATTAATAAAACAACATGTTTGTGAGACGAAATCTCGGCCATTCACAAATCCTGCGGGTTTTCACGGTTCGCGCTCTACACGCCACAACCTGGTGCTGACGTCAGAGCACCGCATGCCAAATCTGCGGACCTGTGAGGAATGACAAATCTGAACGTCTGACGACTGTGCAGAAATCCTGCGGACCTGCGAAGAATGACAAATCTGCGGACTTGAGAGGAATGACAAATCTGAACGTCTGACGACTGTGCAGAAATCCTGCGGACCTGCGAGGAATGACAAATCTGCGGACTTGAGTGGAATGACAAATCTGAACGTCTGACGACTGTGTAGAAATCCTACGGACCTGTGAGGAATGACAAATTTACACGTCCGACGACCGTGAACAACAATTCTGCGGACCTGCGAGGAATAACAAATCCGCACACCTGTCGGCTTCCCGGTTAGTTCCACCCACACACATACCGTCGCGCCGTCATGACGTCACGGTTGCCATGGAAATGCTGAATGACGTGATCTCGCCGGAGGTGCTCCGCGTAGCTCAGTCGGACGCCTGTTGTACAGCCCCTCTCAGCGCCCGGTGGACCGTCCCTCCCAGTCGGGGTTAGCGGAGTTTCCCGGACACAAGTGGACCGTCCCCGGACACAAGTGGACTGTCCCCAGACAGAAGTGGACCGTCCCTTTTCTCCGTGCAGTGCGGCATTGAGAACCACCTGCAGCTCGGCTCATCCACGCAAGATCCGGGCCGGCTAAGGGCAGGCTACGGCAGGCACCGCACATCCGGGCCGAGGCTAGGGGCAACCGAAGGGTGAGTTTAGGACGGTTTCAATGTCCATTTTCAGTGGTTAGAAGGAGGTAACAGCGAAGTATTAGGATGCATAGTAACAGCATTGTAACAGGAGGCTAACAGAATGAACGACTGATATTCTGCGCACCTGCTGCGAACGGCGGTGGGGGGGGATCCACTGTCACCATGGCGATACCACGTGACACGGGGGGGGCAATGTTTCAGGCTGCAGTATAACGCAGTATTACACTGTTTCAGCCTGGCGTATAGCGCAGTGTCACACTGGGCAAGTTGCCAGCCTCCCGCCTGACTATAGATCCCATTTGCAGCGTTATGTCCAGAGATACGCGCCTGACGTGCGAGTAAAAAGCATTACTAACAGCCTGGCGGCGCAGTTCTAATGGCTCCATGGCGATAATTGCGGTCATTTGTTCGTGATCCCATTTCACTGAAACCCGGGAACTGCCCAACTCCCAGGAGATTTCTCGGTTTGGGACTATTTTCGTCATTCACCAGTTTGGAACGCTCTAACCAAGGCTAACATTGGTAAGCACCTAGAGTTTACCGAATGTCCAAATTAACATCGATAACCAGGAACGCTCTAACCCAGGTTAACATCGATAACCAGGACCGAATGTCCACGCACAGTTACCGACTGGAACTCCCTCTCATCAGATATAGTGGATGCCCCATCCTTGGAGTCCTTGCAAGATCGGTTGGCCCAGAAAGACTAAAACACTTAGAAGGCACCGAGAAGTCCTACCACTGACACTGGAACGAAGAAAACAACAACAAAAACAAACTTGACTCTGACCTAACCCTGTCCAAACATAGTGAGGCAGATTCTTCACGCATGATGTTGATATTGGCCTCCTCAACTCACAGAACAAGAAGAAGATATCGATGACCAGGTCCGCACGCTCTAACCCAGGCTGATAACCACCCAGAGCTTACCAGAAAAGAACGCTCTAGCCCAGGCTAACATTAATATTGATACATATAAGCATCCAGAGTTTGCCGGGACCGAAAGCTCTACCCCAGGTTGTTATAATGTTTTAATGTAGGCAGCGCTATCAATAAATAATCTGTAAAGCACTCTTCATGTGATATTCCGACTAGTCACCTTTAGGGTCCATACTGACTTTCCTTTTTGCTGTCATACTTTCTGTTTGCCTGCTGAAAGATAATAGAAACCGG